AGTGGTCGTGGAGCTAAGAATGTCAGTCAAATCACTGGAGAAGGGAAGTCTCAAATCACAGTTCTGGCATGCACTTGTGCAGCAGGAGTACCGTTGCCTCCATTTGTAATATTTGATCGTAAGACCTTTAATGATCAGCTAATGGTAGGAGAAATACCAGGTACACTTTACGGCTCATCTCCAAATGGATGGATCAGTAGAGAGCTGTTTTTGTACTGGTTTCATAAGCTATTTTTAACAAGTGTTCCTAGGGTACGTCCTCTCCTTCTCCTGATGGATGGTCATTCTACTCATTATGGTCCTGACCTTATCAAGATAGCAGCTGAAGAGCAAATTTTAATATTTGTATTGCCACCCAATACCACTCATTTAACACAGCCACTTGACAAAGGGTGTTTTGGGCCATTAAAAACTGCTTGGAAGGCTGTGTGTCATGAGTTCTGCACTAAAAACCCTGGTCGAGTGGTAACCAGATACGATTTCTCTGTATTATTTGCTGATGCATGGAGAAGGTCAATGACACAGAGAAACATTGCAAGTGGCTTTGAAGTAACCGGCATATGTCCTTTCAACAGAAATGCTATTAAAACTGGCAATGAAAAGCAAGAAACCATCAGCCGTTCACTGTTAGACCAGACTGGTCTAGCATACATACCGCTCTATAGTTTAGACATAAAGAGAACGAGGGATCATGATTCTTCATTCAATTCTAGTCTCTTGGAGAGATCACTTTCAGAGAATGATTTATCGCAAGCTGTCACTCCAATGCGAAGAGTAATGCCTATAGAGTCTTTTCTGAAAACTCCTAGTCATCCCAGTAGCAAGTCCACCCTGAAGCCTAAATCATGCGGAAGAGTATTGACTAGTGTTGAATTCATGACATGTATAGAGGAAAAGGAAAGAATGAAGCAGGAAGCCTTGAAGGAGAAGGAGCGTAAAAGAATTGCTAGACTTGAGAACCAGAAGGAAGCTAATAGAGTAAAAGAGTTGAAGAGAAGTGCAAGTAATATATCTTATTGTGAAAAATTTAATCTGATATTGGACCATATTTTTAGATTTTACTATGAGTGAGCACAGGCAATTCTCTAAGAGGTTTGAAAATGGATATGACATTCCGGATGAGAGGTATGAGTTATGGGTTCAGTTATATCGTCCTAATATGACATCTCAAGGTGGGTATTGATGAATTCATATTATTATGTTGAACATAATGTATTTATTAATATTAAGATTCAAATGCTGAAGATGAAGACCAAGATTCCTTGAGTAATGGTATGTAACAGTAAATTAGTATTTCCGGCATTCATTGGTAATTGTAGACACTGATGAAGGAGAAGAGCTTTCAATGAGTGCTGCAAACAGTATGCATGAAACATGATATTATTCTATAATGCTTTATAATTGTGTAGGTGTAGAGACACAGACACATACTGTCACAGCTAATAACAGTAAAGGCCTTTAAAATTAGCTGCAATACTTTTTATTATTAATGTAGGAGCAAAAAGAGTTGCATCTATCAAGGGAACCGCTGCTACTAAAGGTATTCGTATCACTATTAATTATTCTGATTTATTTTTAGAGACAGTTGATGCCTCTGTTACTTCTAATGCTAAGAAGGCTGTGAGGTCTAAAGGTATGTCTCAAATAATTTATGCTTGTCATTATTTTTTAATTAGAGACAGCAATCGCTGTACCTACTACTAGGAGTGTTAGATATAAAGGTATTGTAATATTAATAGTTGTTAATGTAATGGTTCATGATAATAGAGAGAGTTTTACCTATTGAAGAAAGTGTTAGAGCTAAAGGTATTTATTAAGTTTTTTGTTTATTTTTATCTATGCAAGTATAGAGACAGTTGAACCCACTACAGATATTAGTACTGCAGCCAAAGAGAGCAATAGAACTAAAGGTACTATTATGCAATTTTTGAACAAAGACAATTGTGCCTGCCTACGCAAGTGTTACAGATTTTTAATTGTTATTATTGACTTATGTAGAAACAGAGAGAGTTATACATACTGCTAGGGGAGTAAGGGAAGTGTTAGAACTAAAGGTATTAATATACTAGCTTTTTATAAATGTTGATGTAATATAGAAACAACTGTAAGTCCTGCTAATGCAACTACTGCTAAGAAAAGTGCTAAAGGTGTCACATAATTCTTTTATTTTATTTTATTATTTTTAATATAGAATCAGCTGATTATCCTACTGCAAAGAAGAGTGTTCAAAGTATACAATAATTTATTTTGCTATTAATTTTATAGTTTATGCTTAGGTGCACATAGAGTTGATACAAGAAGGAGTGTCAGAACTAAACGTAGTAAAATTTTAATTATTATTATCTTTATTATGATTATTGATAATTACAGAAATGGAAAGAGTTGGACAATGTACAGTGAATAATGGTATTGCTAAAGGTATTTATTTTTAATTAATAATTTATGATGATTTATTATTCAATAATACAGATGCAGTCCCTCCTACTACTTATGCTACCAAAAGGAATGTGAAATCTAAAGGTAAAGGATAACATCTTGACATAGTCTAATTATACTACAATAATAGTCAAGTCTGATTGTTCCCTAAAGCAATGCTCACATCCTGATGAGTCTAATTGGGTCTTTTGTTGCAGCTGCAACCAGTGGTATCACTGTTATTGTTATAAAATTTCATTTCAAAAGGCGAAATCAAAAAACTTTAAATTTACATGTAACAACTGTAAATAATAACTAATTTTAATAATAATCAATAATGTTAGGCGTGTCCGTTTATTGTAGAAGAAGTTAAATATTTTTTATGGTAGCTGAGTGTACCTAAGAAGCCGGCTGTGTGATCCTTTTTGAAGAAGACAGTCAGTACTAAAGTTCTGGTGGTATAAAACTATTCTTCGAATAAAGTTTGCTTCGTTGTGGTTAAGTGACGAAAATTGAGTGAACTCGGCCGATTATCGTGTGAATCCACGAAGTGTGTTTAGCAAGTTATATCTTTGCAAAGAAAGGTGATACTTTGATTTTTACCATGCAAACAGGTATTATAATGATCTATATCTAGTGCAAAAATCACTGGAAAATCATCTTAAGTTTTAAAAATATAACTGTCCGAATTTTGATTAGTCCGATATTTGATTGTTTACTCTAGATTCCTTCAATAAGTCACTAACATCATCAACAAGCTCATCAACATCTACGAGAACATAACTAAATCATATTCTGTCATCATCAATATGTACCTAAACAAGTTTGACTAGTGGCCATAAACACAGTCCTTGAGGCCACAACCCGAGTCACAACCAGAGTGGGCAGGGCTGGATGAATGATTAATTTAAAATTTAAATGATTAAATTTAAATAAAAATATTTTCTATTCAAAAAATAAAAAATTATGAATTAGATCTAAAATTAGTTAGCAGTCAGTAGGTATTTTGTAATCATCTGGCACAGGCAGAAAAAGTGAGCGTCTAACTTTACCATCCACTGACTCAGAAAAATGACCTTTCCCTATAATTAACACAGAATGATGATTATAGTTTAGGAGCTATAACAGACATCATGCTTGTGAAATAAAATAAAATGTACATTGACATAAAGATATCGTTAAAACCTTGCTGCTTTTAAAATGAAACTTAAATTCTTTCATGTTGATCAAAACCTCTATTGCAATTTCTTTTTTCATACATGTACATCCAAGAGTACATGGTACATCATAGTCATAATTCTTCTTCTCATTACTTATAGATTAATTTACCAGTAGTATCCTCTACAAAGAACACTTCTCCTTCTTTTAGAATTCTTTTCTCACCAGAAGATACAGTTACCTGTACACTGGCATCCAAATTAACTATGAACTGTCTTCTTGGTGCTGTGTGCCATGAGTAATTGTAAGAAGAT